TCACCCCAATGTTTGGGCTACGTCCACACTGATGTTGATATTGTTTCACTCTGAATGGTGAATATACAAGAAGGCTAGAGGCAGTGTGCTCTCTAGCCTATTTTCTGCGTTTGCCCTCTCTGAGATGTTTTCTCTCTTCCCATGGCCTAAACCTTGACCTCTCTTAATGAGGAGAGTGAGGAGTCCTTTTATAGAATAAGGGCTCCTCACTTATTACATATTTGCCTCTTCATTTATTACATAATTACATTTGAGTCCCCCGAGTATTTATACGAGGTCTAAATACGGAGGCCCTAAATATGGTACAAACACATTTTTAGATCAAAGCAATAAGATGCAGTATTAAGTGTAAATGAACCAAAGTTAAGTAAAGGCAAACCTTTGCCATCACCGATATATACTTGTTTAGGTTCATTGTATGACCTAGGATTTTGCAAATTGGTGTAGGAGTTGGTCATGTGCGAACTAGCACCAGAGTCAAGTAGCCATGTAGGAGTGGTAGTTGCATTTTATGCATTCTGAGAATTATTGGTGCCAAAATGTGGATTCATGCGTTGTGGACAATCTGCAACTTCATGATCCATTTATGAACAAATTTGGCAGTAAATCTTTCTGGTAGAATTGTTAGAGTTAAAACGAGAACCATGATTATTTCTGTAATTTCCCTGATTGCCTCAATGAAATCTTGGATTGCCCTAAAAGCTTTGATAGTTCTTTTGAGTTACACGATTGTTGTAAGGTCTCGGATTAGAAAAATTGCCACGATGTGAAGAACAATAGAAATTTAGATATGATCCACTCTAAGTAGAATGTCTGTGAACCAAAATCACTAGTTAGAGTTGGAAGAAGACCAATAGAAGAATTGAAAGCTTGAATTGGTGCTGGTGGAGAGACTTTCTTGCGAGCAGTTAGCTGAAGTTCCTTACTCAAAAGAAGTCCATGAAGTTCATCAATGGTGGTGGAACCAAGTTGAAACTGAATGGCATCAATAAACGATTCATACTCAGATGGTAAACCATGTAGAATCACATAAATCAACTCAGAGTCTTCGATCAGAGCACCAGCATTGGCTAGGGCATCAGCATTTTCTTTAATTTGTTAAAGATAGACCGCAACTGTGGAATCACCCTTCGTGATGGTACTGTTAAGGAAAAATTGTACATAATATGTAAACAAATAATTTACTCGACACAATTTCTCCCTCATTCATTTTTCCGAAGAGGGTTTTATTAATTCGAGTTCGACCCATTCTAGGCTACGTGCCTATTAATTACAACCCTTCTTTTGGGAAAGGAATACCCTTTGATTCCAATTCGAATAAAATGTAACTTGAGGATTTTGATGTTCGTTTGATTTTGTGACTGCACCTAGGTCGAACCCTAGATTGCCTACGTACCCTCTTGAGGGATCAAGTCACTTGTAGTTCATGTATTTGGTACTTGTTTGGATTTGATGCTTTGTGCAGTTTTAGATCATGCGGGCGAGGAGCATTTGAGTTACTTGGGACTTTTGATGCCTTGTGCAGTTTTAGCTCGTACGGGCGAGGACTTTAAACCATTGGAACAACTGATGCCTTGTGCAGTTTTAGCTCATGTAGGTGAGGAGAATTTGATGCCTTGTGCAGTTTTAGCTTATGCAGGCGAGGAGCAATAGTGCCTTATGCAGTTTTAGCTCGTGCGGGCCAGGAGCATTTGATGCCTTGTGCAGTTTTAGCTTGTGCGGAGCGAGGACTTTAAGTCATTGGAGCGTTTAATGCATTGTGCAGTTTTAGCTCATGCAAGCGAAGACTTTAAACCATTGGAGCTTTTAATTCGGCTGCATGCCATTTGAGATTTTTCTTCAGCTTCATGCCTTTTGGGATTTGACGCGGCTTCATACCATTTGAAATTTGATGTGGCTTCGTGCCATTTGTAATTTGAAACGGCTTTGTACCATTTGAAGCGGCTTCGTGTCATTCATAATTTGAACCGGCTCCCTTCTTTTTTACTCTTCGTAGAATTTGTAATTACTTGGTCAAAGTAACATAAGTGAATTTAGTTTATATAAACCAGGGATTCGTCTTGATTTCACGGTTGCGTCTATAATTTGATATTAGACTACCTACGTATCCTTAACGGAATCAAACCGGCGTAGTTCATAAAGTATTTGATTTGAATTTGTGTTCAGACTTTGGCAAAAGAAAGGTGCCCAAAAGATGATGACTGACAAAAATGAATTGATGGTTTTTGCCAAGTATGACCCACGCTCTTTCCTTTAATAATCAAAGCTTAGTGCATTTAGGGTGAGACCATACTTCCCACGTGATGAGCAACCTTTCTTTCTTTTATTTGCCTTCATTCACTTTGTCTTGAAACCCATTCCATCTTGTCTTCATGCCTGACACTAACTGGGCACATAGTGGCACATCAAGTCTTTTCTTTTCACATTGTGTAATAAAACAAGGCAAAGCACCATTTTTTTATAGACGCCTTTTCCGACTCTAAGTTCCCCTGATTTTCTCCTCTACCTTTTTTTTTTACTTGCTTTTGTCCTTGCTGTGTGTCTACTTGGTGGTTTTGAGGAGGATGAGATCCAATTGGAAATGGCATAAGTTAAATCACCATAAAGAAATTTTTTCCTTTGTGACCACATAAAATCACATAGTTCCATTGATCTCCACATGATCTTTCCCATTTAATTTGGAGAGTTGTTCTGCAGCAAAAAAAAAAAAAAAAAGACTAGTCAATTATGACTAAAGTTTGAAGGCCACGTGATTAACCAAGTTTCTGGTAGTAGGCATTGGATGCCTCTTTTTGTTGCTCACTTGTTCTAATATAAATTCACGTGCCTAGCAGAACCAATTTGCTTTTGGCGCCTTGCAGGGGCAAAGAAAATAAGGAAAGGCTTTGAATGAGAGAGAGAGAGAGAGAGAACAAGGCTTTTTTATTTGGACTTTTCAACTTTAAACCTCCAATGCCACGTGAGTGTCTTTTCCAATTAATATGGGAAGTAAGTATTTTCCATTTCTGTGAACTTGGGACAGCCTTGAACTGTTTCAGGTCCACATAGGACTTTTATGTTCTGAAAAGAAGACCACATCCACGATTTTTCGATGTGATAGAAACCTCTTTGTATTTTTGGTTGAAGCTCTTCTCTTCCCTTTGAGTTTTAAACTCATTTTTTCCTTTTCCTTTGCAATTTTTCTTTCTTTTGACAAATTCATGGAGAATTGTGCTTGGAAAAAATAATTTCCACTGATTCCTTCACGAGATTTATCCCACAAGAGTTCTGTTCAAAGTAGCCCCTTTTTTTCCTTCTTTTCAATCCTACTTAACATGGGACTTTATACCCATTTGTCCCGAGCTTATTCCAACTTTGTCAGCAAGCCTTTTTTCCTTCCCCTCTTTGAAGACTTTGAACTTTCCTAGTCTCGGGTGCATGAACTTCACAGGGAGCTTTTGAGCTTCTGCAATCTATTTTAAAGTGCAACTTTAAAGCTGTTTGCTGCAATGCAAAGAGCATTTAGACTTGGTTGGAACTTCACGGGATGGTTTAGACCAACCCGAAGAAATTCATGGGACTAACTTCAGTGGCACGGACCACTCCCTTTTCTTCTCGGCATAGAAGAGCTTGATGGGTAGAGAGGTCATGGCATGGCTGCAACGTCCTTTTGGGCTTCCTTTTAACGTCTGCGATGGTGCTACAAGTTTCTTCACTGATGGAGAAAGGAAGGTGGCAGATTTCCAGAGGCCTACGACTTTATTTTCTAGATGGATGCCGTGACTTGGGAGAGGATGAAGAAGCAGAGTGTTTCTTTTTCTACAAAGCAAAGAAATAACAACGAAATACAAAGGAAAGATTAACCCAAAAAAATAATAATGGATTTATACCTTTTGAGTCCTTGCCTTTCCTTTTTGTCGTCCACCCCTCCTTTGTATTCTTCTATTTCTCTTCTCGTTTGATCTCTCTTAGTGCCCCACAATCTCTGCAGCGTTTCTGTATCTTTCCTTCGTTGCTCTCCTCTTTCATCTCAATATCTGCAGAGTCTCCCTCATTTTCTTTCGTCCTCCGTGTGCTTCAATTTCTGCAGCGTCTCCCTCTTTTTTTTTCGTGTCCTCCCCTTTGCTTTGGTTTGATGGCTTTTTATAGGCGAGAAGGTGGACATGGCAGTTGAAGCTAGTGGGATGCTATTTTCCTGGGGGTGTGGAGGTGTTGAGAGAAAGCCATCACTTGAGTGGAAAACGTGGGGGGTTTTTGGAGAGTTCTAGACACACATGATCTCTGTACTTGGTTGCCACGTAGATGAAAAAAACTTCATCAAACTTGTCATAGTCCACATACGTGCGGGTGTAGAATATATTTTGCTATTTTACTTTTTTTTAATTTTTCTCTTAAGTCTCACTGTTTTTAATAAGACTTGCTAATATATTTTATTTGTGAAAATATATAGCTCAACAGGTACGAAGATGAGAATGAAGCTTGTGAATGTGCGATTGCGATGCAGTTGCAAGACGTGATTCTAGTTTCAACCATAGCTCACGAAACAAATTAACACCAATAGTGTATGGAATAAAAGCATTCGAGAGCGGAAAATTAATCCAGATCAAAATATTCTGATCATTCTCCAACCACGTAATATATTAAGGATTTAGAGTAGATGTGTGATTACTAGAGGAATCAAGAAGAAACTTCGACGGAGCAAGCATCGTGCTATCAATGATACCGGTGAGATTGTATCAGCGAAAGATTGGATTGAACAATGCACTCCAGGTGAGATAGTTCGTTGTTGTGAGCTTAATTGGAACCAAAGATCCAATATTCTGGATCGTGATTGACAAAATTGGCGAGGATGATGAAAAATTAGGAGAATAGGAGATTCAGATTTAGAGGAAACAGAGCATGAGGTCGTTATGGCTGAAAAACCTAGGGTTTTGAGCTTCGAAGTGAGAAGAAACGCAAGAAGCAGGAAGCAAAGAGAGAGAGAAAGATCGAGGGTCGTGAGACTTAGGCGATAGGTGCCATGATAGAAATTATATACTTTCATTTCTTAAACAATAAGATTACATCTTTGGAGTATATACACTAATGACACACCCACTTGTGTTATCAACTAATTACATCATTATCTAACTAAACATTAGCTAATCACAAGGGCTGTTATAACCGATGTCTTAAATGCTGATAATATCGGCGATATTTCGCCGATATTATCGATTTTTTGCTTTATCGATATTTTAATAGGTATCCAAGGAGTTTTCGTCAAAATATCACGATATTACTGATAATATCGTGAAATTTTGGATCTGTGCAAATCGGAGAAGAACGCCGGAGCGTCTACAGCTCCGGCCGATTGTAAAAGAGCACCCTAGACTCTGATCTAGGTATCAAAATGAAATAGAAGACGAGAGGAATGTTTTTATAACTTTCGTTTGCCGTGAAACGGTCGGAGGTGTTCGGAAAGTTCGTCGACACTCACGGCCTCGCCGGAGCTGGTGTGCCTTCCCCCGAGTCGATCTCCTTCTAAAACCTTGTTAAAAAACCAGAAAAAACTTAGTATATCTCGATTCTCAACCACACCACACAACATCCAAGATGAATTGAGGGCTTACCTAACCGGAGAAGGATCAAGAGAACTCGCCAGAGAGTTCCTAGGTTCCACTGTCCTAGCTGCACCGAGAGAAATGGAGAGAAAAACGAGGTTTAGCTTGTCTCTGTGAAGATGAGGGAAAAGAGAGTGTTGCCGATGAATTTCTGCAGCGCGTCTGTGAAGATGAGGGAGGAGATGGTGCAGAGAGAAGCGCATATGTGAAGATGAGGGAGAAGACGGTGCAGGGAGAGAGAGAGAGAGGGAAAGAGAGAGAGACTTTAACATACCACCCAAGGTGGACGGGTAGTGGACGGGAGACTTAAACAAACAAAACCATGGGCTCTGATGGTTGTAACTTGTAATTATGAGGTGGACAGGTGACGTGAAAGAGGTGAGGTGCACCTCTGATGGTTTTAACTTTTAATAATGAAGGCCATCCATTTATATTTTTAAAAGTTTAGGATATTATATATATATATGTGTGTGTGTGTGTGTGTGTTATATAAATTATAAATTATTTAGATAATATTTTGTTTTTTTTTACTAAGCAAGCAGATTATATTCGAACCCTACCTTTGTCAACCACGTACCTGGGCCTTATCCAACTCGCTACAGATGTGTTTGTGATTATATATTCAGCCTGTAATATTTATATGATCATTAGGATGTCTGCAAGGCTTGCAAGCTAATATTTATTATCTAGGATAAATTTCTATATTTAAAAAACACAAAGGTGAACATTTTGAACCTCATAGGAACTCTATGTGGTACTAAGTCACTCATGTATCTTACCATGCAATGTATAAAGTGTAAAATATTGTACTAATTCATTATATATAAATGATTATAATGTGTTTAAACTTCTTTCATTAATTACTACATATTTTCTACACTCACAATGTTTGTCAGCTCGCTATATAATCAACTTAAATCAGTTAAATCCATCATGCAATGCATTTCCTTCCAATTTTTTGTGATAAACTAACAGATAATTGACTAAATAAACATCCTGCGAAGTTTCAATAAAAATTTCCAAGTTTTTCTTACAATTTCCGTGGTTTTTATTCAATTTTTATCAATATCGATAATATCCCGATATTTCCATCGATATTTCCGTATTTTTTTACTACCGATATTTCCGATATCATCGATATTTTATACCTTGGTTATAACAAGCTTATGACAAACTCATCTATTTACAATTTTACCCTTATTAAGGAGAAGTTCTCTAGTAGTCAAAGACATAATTTTAGTGACATTACTTGTCCAATATGTGTTTGCCAAGTGCTCAAAAAGTGTATCATATGCTCAATAGATGTTTGCCACATAAGTCTTTGTTTACAAGCGATTTTATGTAGAGGGCGAGAGCTCTATTAACTAGTCGTTGACAATTTCTATCACATTGAAAAACAATCACCACACCACTAGTGCTAAAATCTAGTAGTGTTCCTCTTTACTTATAAATAGAAAGTCTCAAGTTCAAACTATATATGAATAAAAAGTTTAAAACGTAATGATTGGCCCATTGTGTCGGTTAGGCTAACACCCCCTCTTTCCCTCTCCCAGTATCATTGTATCAAAGGAAAAATAATCACCTTTAGACTTTCGAGGCATCAACCCTTCATTGACTTTTGCTCAAAAAAAGCACTAGGTTTAGTGGTATTCTTGTTTGTTAGTGGGAGATTTTAGATTCAACTTGCATAGATAGCAATTTTGTTACCTAATTTTGGATAACTTGTGGGGTAGCTTAGTTCAAATGGATATGCAACACAAATTTTGCAATGGTGCCATTGATCCTGGCAATCAACGTCAACCCTCCTCCTCCTAGTGCAAAAATATCTCTAATGCTCTATTTGTTTAATTTGGTGTGAAAGACTCGACCTGAAACACCTTTATACATTCGCTATTTGACCTTTTGACTTTGCAAAAGAATTTTTTGGTTGTAATCCAATCATGTTGAACTAGATTCTAAATAATATCAATTGCTGCTATTAATTACAATTGGTAAGTTAGAGAGACAAAAAATTTAAATTAAATTTAAAAATTAAATGATGTCATGTCAATAAGAAAAAAACGCGTTACTTAAGTAATAATCTAATTATCAACAACCACATCATTTAATTTACAAAATTTATTCTCTCTAATAAGGACTTGAATCATACTTTTAGAAGCATATACAGAACAAAGAGAAAAAAGTAGATAAAAAAACCTAGCTTCAACACCCCCTCTCTCTCGCCCAAAGCCAAGAACACAGAATTCCAATCCTAGCTTTAGTCGCCGGCCCTTCCTAATTCCCACCTCGTTCTTCCTTTTCTTTATCTTTGGCCCTTGTTTTTTGGTAATTTGCTCTGAGCTTGTCTCATTTTTCTTGAGCTTTGTCTCCATCAATGATAGACCTTGTTTCATGTTAAGGATTCAAGCCTTTTCTTTCTAAATTGTTGTTCTTAACTGCTGTCCATTTGTTTCGACTATTCGTCTCCTTGGGTTCTTCCTTCCTAGGTTTCCGTTGGAGGTGTGCTTTGGGTTTTGATGGTTGCTTAAGTGCAGTATCTGGTAGGATTATGGGACTTAGCGCGGGTAGCTTGCACCCCTATTTTTCGTTTATCCTTCAGTTCATTGGTTCTTCTACCCAGTGATGGCGACTTTGCAATGGTGGTGGGGCTATTTTGGTGGAGGAGGTTAGTTTACATTTCTAGGTCTAGGGTTTTCTTTAAGGATTGTTATGGCCTCACTTTTGGTGTTGCTTCCTTGTTTTCCTTAATTGGGCTGCACTTTTACTCTAGTGTAGTAGATTGTCTTTGGACTTTTCTCACTTTGTTTTAGTGTATTTTTAATGAAATTAGTTGTTTGACAAAAATTCAAAAAGAAAATATTTGTAGCCATTGATTTGTAGAGAGTTTTAATCGAAGATTACCATTTAGAATAACAGAAATAATATATACACAGCACAAGTTGCACAGCGTTCAATTTCTTTGGTGCTTGCATTCTCAACTTATTTAAAGCCCTGGAGATATAGTAATCAGAATCCTTCAAGTGTGTGTGTGTGTGTGTGTGTGTATGTTATTCTATCTTGGGTGGTAGAGCGACAAGACCTCGTTGATCAATGAAGACTCGAATCTTGTCATAACAGAGTTGTTAGGAGATAGAGGAGTTGTACAGGTTCATGGTGTAGGCTCTGACCGATGGATTTTCTTTCATAATAATGGTTACTGCCTCCTCTCCTCTAGTCCCCACTAGCTCCGGCCATGAACTCTTTCCTGCAAAGTGCAAATGCAATAACAACATATATATATATATTAATACAAATTACACAATATAATTAATCAATTAAAATACACACAATTATCCAGTTGATCTGGTCATCATGTCTGTATGTGCTATCAATAGAACATCTGCGACTTGCCATCTTGATAGTTGATATGATGATATATCACTTTGTGCATATGATCTGGTAAAGAGTTTTGATGGAGCAGATGGGTATTTGTAAGGGGTTATACTACCTTTAGCCTATAAAACTATAGTTTTTTATTAATTGGGATATAAACTATAAGGTTTGACCTGGCATGAATAATGAAGGTGAGAGCACAAACAGGCCGTTGACCGTTTCTTTTCTTTCGAATAACAATCTCTTATGGAGTAGAGAGACGTTGACTTTTACTCAATTAGCAATATGATTTAGTAGTATTACGTACTTTCTACTAAATAAAAATTTTTAAACTCAAATCTTACATGGATGACAAAATTCGATAACTGTGTTGGATGATCCATTAGTGGCTTAGTCCAAATCTTCACTCTCTCAATATCATTTTACTTAAATAAATAAATCTCCCCACAAACATACTAAACACAAAATTTGCGACAGTAACCTTAACACTGATACACGGGCTAAAAAATGTGTTTGAAAAAATTCGACAATGATATTTATAGCTCGTTTGGAAGCGCTTTTAATATGACTAAAAACGCTATTGGAGAAAATATGTTTGGTTTCCAAAAGCTTTACAAGAAGAACATAATAATTGGTGCTTCTTGTAGAAAATACTTAAAGTGATTTTTAAGATTTCACTTGCATTTTTATTAAGGACTGGCCTCAAAAACATTTCATCAAAAGTTCATCTATTTTAAAAGCACTTCCAAACGAGCCCTTAGTCTTCTTTAAAAATTTGGTCTCCCTAACATTATCCTCATTATATTAGTTATTTTTCCTAGCATTAGGTTTTCTTGCCCATTAAAAGTATTAGGGTTTGTTTTAGTTTTCTCTATAAATAGGTGCTTTTTAACTCGAAAAATTATTAGATAATAATGATGTAGTCTTACAAGTTTTGTAGTCATTTTGGTATTCTTGTTTATTTACTAATGTTAATACTTTCATATTTTGTTGTTCGTTTGTTTGTTCATTCGTATGTGAGGTTCAAAGCATGTTCATTCCTTTGTGATTTAATTTGCTTCGGGTTGTTACCAGTTTCGTTTGCCTATTATTTCTGTCATGTTATCATTTGGGTTTAGTTTGATAGTTAAAAACCAAAAACAACATTGATGAAGCCTTGGAGTCTAGACACGGACACGGTCAAGACACTACAAGGGCATTTTTGCAAATATAAAAAAAAATATTTTGGAGCAGTTTTATAAATAACAAAACCTCTAAACCTACAACTTCCTGACCCCTTAACTTAAATTTATTTTTTAGCGTTGGGTCTGTTATCAAGGAAAGGGAGTGTGCTTTTGCGCTTTTCTACGGCCCGTTATGCTAAAACATCCGGTGAGCAACAAAGAAAAAAAGTGATTAAAATCTCCTCGTATAGACAAGTAAGGTAAGGGTATCTGTTGTTTTCTTCATGGCGCCTCTAGGCTCTCTGCTCCCGACTCTAGTCCTCTTCAGTTCTCTTTCTCTCCAAACTCTACCTAATCTTGTGTTTCCAAATCATTGAGACTCGAATCATGTGTTTTATTAATTATTATGTTTTTGTTTTAATTATTATGTATGATGAATGAATTTGATGCACACGAGTACTTTGTTGTATTATGAATTCGAAGTAATAATATTTGTTACATTTTAATCGCCATGTTCTAACCGTGTTCGTGTTCTTATTTTTTGAGTTTTGCTGTGTCGCACGTCGTCGCCGTATCCGTGTCAGTGTCCATGCAACCTAGCTAAGCTGCACTCAGTTCCTTTCCGGCATCAGATCACCAACGCACAGCCCCACCACCTCGCCATTGATAGTCGTAAAATGAGTTGTTCGACAAAAAAAGGTCGAAAAGAAGATAGTCCAAGCCATTGATTTGCAGAGAGTTTTAATCGATGATTGACATTTAGAATAACAAAATTAACAAATACAC